GGCATTAATTTGTATCAGAAAAAAAGCCCAAGAACTTGCCAAAGCTGAGCTCCCTCAGCTCCCAGAGTGAAAAAGGAGCTCCCAGAGCAAAAAAGGAGGTTGGATGACTGATGGGCTGGACCTGGATCCATTACTGTGGAGAAAAACTTCCCCCTCTGCCAAAGAAAAGAAAGAGAAGTGACATGTTCCCAGCACCTAATGGCACAGTCTTGATGCTTGGTGCTCTTCAAAGTAATTCTGCAAGGCAGCCATCATTTTCTCCATTTTACAGATGAGAAAACTGAGGCTCAGAGGACCTCTCACAGGTAGGAAGAGGCCTAGTTGACTGTGCGTCAGCCCCACGGCCTCCTCCAGGAGATGCGAGGACAGCCTAGCTGCCTGACTCCACAGAGTGGCCGTCCATCTCCACTTCATGGGCAGTGGAAGGAGAGGCCGAGGACATGGGCCAGGCAAGCCATCCCTCACACTCCCTGTTTACTCCCAGCACCTTTCTGAGCCCTGAGTGTGTCCCCACCTTTTTTTAATGAAGTGAGAATTCACTCTGCCTTTGAGAGCAGTGTGATGGGCCAGGATCAGCTATGTAACCTGCAGGGCCTCGAGCATAGGAAAGCTGCAGGGCCCCTTGTTTAAGAATTAAAATTGTCACAGTGGCAACATCTGAACTTTCAGCCAAGCACAGGGCCCTCTGAGCATGTGGTTTGCATGTGTGTTTTACCTCCACAATGAGGAAGTTGGATTAGACCAGTAGGTCTTAACCCTGATTATGCATTAGAAGCTCATAGGGCCTTAAAAATAAATACTCACAGCTGGCCCTACCCCCAAGGATTCTGAACCAGGTTGGTCTGGAGTCTGGCTATGTGAATATATTCCCCACATGCCGAGACTACTTCTACAGGGTGATAAAGATGAAAATGTCCTCCTTCCTCTTTTTTTTTTTCCAACAAGATTTCACTTTGTAGTCCAGGATGGCCTGGAACTCCCTATGCAGCCCAGGCTGGTCTCAAACTCATGAAAAGCCTGCCTCAACCTCCTGATTGCTGGGATTACAAACATGCATCACCATACAGCTCTTTTGAAAAAATAGTTAAGGTATGCATGCAACTTCAGCTCCAGTTGGGCGAGGAGTCTTGAAGCCTCAGATCTGAGAAGTTTAACTGGCAAAAATATAAAGAATATGTGACTTTTGCAGGTCTTAAGAAAGGGTAATCTTCTGAGGGTGTTGTTTCTTCTCTAGAGCATCCACTTGCTTCAGCATCCATTCTGCCGAAGATCTTGGTACTCCCGTGTTGCCCAGGGTTCTCTGGGGGAAGCCACTCACTGGAGCACTATGAAAAACAGCAGTTGTTCTTTCTGGAAACTTGAAGTTTGCCTGGCCTGAAGCTGTTACAGAGAAGAACCTTAAAAAGGGAAACAATGCCTATTGAACACTTTCTGAGTGCCTGACATTGCACTTTGGGGAATTCATATTGAGTCCTCCCAAGTTTTTTCTGAGTATTCTTTTAATTCTCATTTTTATAGCTCAGAAAGCCAAGGAGGTTGCTGAATGTCATGCAGTGGATTAAACAGTTCCTCTGCTTTGGGGAGAAGGTGCAGGACTTTGGTTCAGAGGTGCTGAGGTGGGTGGAGTGGGGTACACTC